TCCAGAACCCAGTCCTTCACCCACTGTGCTGCCGTGACTTCCTTCTTAACTGACCACAGATCTGGGGGTGGTGTTTAGAACTGGCTTTTTCCCTCCCGGGCTGTTTCACAGCCTCACCGGAAATGGAAAATTTACCCATGAGTTCACCTCGGGGCATTTACTGAAACTCTCATCTTGTCTGGAAAGCACTGCTACCTTCTGGAGCCCTGGAAAGAGAAAGGAGGAAAGGCGGCAAGGGACGTGGGCAGCAGGTGCTGGAGTCAGGAAGGCGTTCCCTCCCCCTCCGCCGCGGGCCGGATTACCGCATCAAATCCCGGCTGCTCTCCCTGCTCCAGAGCATGCCAAACCTATCAGGGAGCCCACAGCAAATCAACTCAAAAGCTTACGTAACAGCAAAAATAAATAGGCAGGCTGCACTCTCCCTGACCTTTCAACTGATTACAGCCTTGATTGTCTTCTAATGTTGCAGTGAAATGAACCGGCAGTTGTGCACGGACCAGAGGCTTGTGCGGAGCCTCCAAACCGTGCCAGCTGGAGCCGCCTCTTAGCAAGGGACACTGAAACTGCCAATTTGATGAGCCCAGGCTCTGCACCAGGCTCTGTCCGCAGGCGGGCTCAGATAAGCCCCAGAACTCTGTCCATTCATTCATTCATTCACGCGCTCGCTTATTCGTCCAGCGGAATGTGTTCCGTGCTCACTCTGCGCCAGCCGCTGTGCTAGGACAAGGCCTTGGTCCTCACGGCGCTTACGCTTCAGAGAGGCAGGCATAGAACTGCCAAGTAAGCAAATAACGGAGGTACAATCACGCATCAGTAGGATTTCTCTTGTTGCCTCTCGTTGAGGACACGCAGGCCTAGAGGACTCTGTCTGCACTTTAAAGAGAACACAAACCATTTGGGGATCGTGGCATCTCCTTAGGGTCTCAGCTCGGGCTGACCGTTACAACTGGCGAAACTTAACTTGCATCCCTGGGGCCCGTTCCCAAACCATCAAGTTGGAATTTCTGGAGATGCGGCACTGGCAATTTTTTTTTAGCTTATAATTTTGATACAATTTTGAATTTATAGAAAAGTTGTAATCATTGTCCGAAACACTCAGATTCACCATTATTTAGACTTCATTGTATTTACATGATGACTTTCTCTCCGTGTGTATGCGTATGTGAGCATGTGTGTTACACATTATCTTCTTCGGAGTCATTTGAAATTAAGCTACAGATCATATCCCTTGATCCCTGAAACCTTCAGCATGTAGCTTAAGAATTAGGAGGTTTCTGATACAGCCTGAGAACATTGATCAAAATCAGGAAATTTGATAGTGCTATGTACCATTATCTAACATAAAGCCCATATTCAAAGTTTGCTAATTGTCTCAATAGTATCTTTTATAGAATATTTCCCCATCCAGGATCCAGTCTAAGATCACACACTGTATTTAGCCGTTACATCTCTTTGGTCTCCTTTAATCTTTGTCTTTCTTGACACTGGCATTTTGGATGAGTCCAAATCAGTTATTTTTGGAGCGTGTCCTTCCGTTGGGGTTTATCTGATGGTTCCTCGTGATTAGATTCAAGTTACGCACTTTTGACAGGACTCATGCATAAGTGTATGTGACGTGGGTCTTTCTCAGTGTATCATACTGGGGGGTATGTGATGTCATTTTGTCCCATTATTGGTGATATTAATCTTCAGCACTTGGTTAAGGTGGGTCTGCCAGGTTTCCCTAACGCAAAATTACTATTTTCCCCCTTGTGTTAATGACCAATTCATGGAGCGATACTTTGAGACTATAAAAATCGTATTCCTCATCAAGCTTGTGAAGGTGAAACTGAGTGATCAATAGTTTAGTGTCTACTGATGGTTCTTGCCTGATTCAGTTATTTACTAATATGGCTACAAAATGGTGACTTGCTAATTTCATTATACCTCCTAAATATATGAGTTGGCACTCGAACGTAAGGAAAAGCTTCCTCTTCCCCCACATTTGTTTGTTTCTTTATTTTATATCTATAGGAACATTTAGATTTTCATTTTAGTCAGTGAGTTACAATTCATTACCGTCACTGTTACTTTTGACACTTAAATTGTCCCCGATTTGCCCAGTGAGGCTTCCTTCAAGCTGCAGCCTGTTTTCTTTCCCCACGTGGCCATCATTTTTCTGGCATAACCTGTTCTGCGCTCATTTTCTACTCTCCTTGCCCCAGCCCTGGAATGGACCGTTTCTCAAAAAATAAAAATCCTAATTCCATTTAGAATGAGAGGTGCTTAGGAACCAAGATCTGGGTACTACAAATGCTCATTGCTTCTAGGATTTTAAGTCAATAGCATTGGTATTTTCAGAAAGCTCCTGAGGGGATCCAAATGTGCAGCCAACACTGAGAATCGCCGTTTATGAAGAAGGGGCCCAGCCACCACCTAAGTGGATGACCATGGGAAGGAAAGGGCGAGAAGAAATTGCACCAGCCGGGCAGGAGTGAACCAATGCAGTACGCTTCAAACCACGAGTAAAGAGACATTAGTGGGCCACGAAATCAATTTACTGAATCATGTCCTGCGTTAAAAAAATAAAAAACTCAATAGAATAGAAAATGCCAAAGAGCATTCCATATAAGTCAATTTTTTCTTTAAGCTTTTGTTTTATTTATGTATATATGAAACCATCTGTAGATTCATATGTACTGGATTGTGACATAAAGCTATTTCTTAATGATTCACAGTCCAACAAGGTTGAGAGCTGCTGGCCTGAAGGAGAGTGCTGTGCTTTTCTCGCCTCTCTTAGCCAAGAGTGGGTGCTTCCCCCACCCAAGCCCTAAGACAAGGAAGGGAGCACCCAAGAGAACAACTCAGGAAGGCTGGGGGTGTCTCATTATCTGGCTGGGCATCTCCTTTAGGGCAGATGTGCATACACTTCACCCTCCTGTGCCTCTCTGGGCAGGTTCAGTGTGAGCTGGGGAGACGTGCTGGGGTGGAGAAAAGAGGGCGCTGGAGAAGTCTGCATGTCCACCATTGGCTTCCTCTGGGTCAAGTGGACCCTGGGAGGTGACATAAACTATCTTTCTGTTGTCCTGCTCCCCCCTCAGCAGGGCTAGCCATTGGGTAAGGAGACCCCAAGAGCAAAAGGCTGGGAGTGGACTAGCAGAGGTGGGACTTGGGGTGGTGGGGGAAGAGGGAGAGCCAGAGCCAGGTCCCTGCAGGGGAGGTGGGCCACCTGCCGTCTCCCCCGAGGAAGAACTCATACGAGATACAGGAGTCAGAGAGCAGCACGTGGATGCCTGCCCACAGGACATGCTGGCCAGGCAGCCTCTGCCAGAGAAACAGCAGCAGCGAAGAGAGGGTCACGATGGATGCCCTGGTATCTCTATACTTCCCCCCCAAAACCCACAGAAGGAGCAAGGGGCTTGGAAGAGGAAAGGACAGAGTTGGGAAAACAGACAGTTCTCTCCCCCACCGCCAACCCCACTGAGGCAGAGCAGAGGCAGGTGGGTAAGCATTAAACTGGATCTGAGATTGAGGTTTTTACCTGGGCCAAAATTTATGAAATCAGAACATCCTTAAAAGACATAAAATCCACCCAGTGTGCCATGAAGGGACTGGAGAGAGAGATTGGACAGAACAGGGTTGAAGACAGTTTCTGGGGAGAAAAGAAAACTTGTTTAGACTCCACCATGTTGAGATGGCTCAGTATACCGGTTCCTGGTCCCTTTAGGTGGGGCAACTGGGGAAGGCCCCTCTGAGGAGACAATGCCCCAGGGCCTGGAAAATGAGAAGAAGTGGCCACAGAACCGCCAAGGAAGGGTGATTTGGCAGAAAAGAAACAGAAAGTGCAGAGTCCCGTTGGCGGCGGCAGCGAGGAAGGCGTTCGCAGAACAAGAGATGGGAGAGGCTGCAGCCTAGTCAAGGGGGCAGGGACGGGAGGATGGGGAGGTAAGAGCATGGATGGTGAGAGCATGCATGGCCTGTAGCCAGCTAAGGTAGGTCTGATCTTTCTTCCATAGGTTTTCATAATTGTAAAGTACTGTGATTATTTAAAAGATTCCAACAGTGCAAGATTTCCCCTAGTCCAAATTCCTATAGGTAACTACCATTAATGTGTTCTCCCAGGCTGTGCAGACATCTGTTTCCATATGCCTATTTTTAATACGGATGAAAACTTAACGGTTCTGCAATTTCCTTCCATTTGATAATATATCATGAATCTCATCCTGTGTTGTTGGCTAAATAAATGATGCTAAATCCATACCACGCTGCCTCTCTCTGGAAGCTGATTGGAAGGACGTTCTGAGTTTGCTCCGTGTCAGGGTAGGTCATACATCAGAATGTACAGATGTACATGTAACAGAATGTAACGATGTAAAAACCCATTTTTAATAAAATGTGAATACATATTTAATCGCATCTTTCTGTACTGGGAACAGTACAGCAGGATGTGCACCAAAATATTAACAGTACTGGGACTTCTAATTTTTCCCCCCTTTCCTGACTATTGCTTTTCTAATTTTCCTACCACAAATACATAGTAATATAAAGTTTAAAAATAAAAAAGGAGGGAAGCAGATAGGACAAAATGGTGACATGTGACAGGTGATGGGTGCTTGTTCTGTTCTTCTTAGTACTTTAATGTGTGTGTGTGTTTAATTTCTCAGAAAAGGGGAAAGGACAGCATAAAGCGCCATTGAAGTTCAGATACAAAATCGACAACTTAGAAGAACTACCCACCACATGTGTCCAAAATGATGGGTTATTCCTGATGTCTTGTATCTTTAAAAAAAAAAAAAAAGACCCGCAGACATGTATCCTGACACTGAACGTGTCCCTGGGTGAGGGGAATGGCCATGCAAATTACATCGCATCACCTCTGACCTTCCAGAGCACAATCGTCATCTGCCGCCACCTCCCTACCCAAATTGAGTTCCATGCAGACACAAGGGCTTCTTCCCGAGTCTGCGATAAGAGCCAAGCTTTTCCTGCAAAAACTAAGGGCTGTGAATCAAGCAACTGACCTTTTTGTTCCTGTTTGGCCCAGAAAGCGTTGACTCGCTGGCGGATGTACTTGTCCTCGCGCAGTTTCTTCTGCCATTGCCGCAATCCTTGGATCTCAGGATCACAGCGAACCTGGAAAATCCCCGCAAAGCTTTCGTTCCCTTTCCACATACTTCTACACATTAGCTTGTTAACCCTGTGAGGAAAATCCTTTACGAACCACCTGGATGTACTTTTGATTCTAAATGAATGGTTGTTCTAAATGAATTATCTCTACCCCTAAAGTTTATGTAACATTTGAGAGTGAATGAGGTTGCATGAAGGTTTGCTATATTAATTAATAGTAGGCTGAGAACACTCTAGGTCTGTGCTGTCCAATAGGGATGTAACTACACGTGTAATTTTAAATTTCCTTGCAATCTCGTTTTACTATTTTTTAAATTATTTATTTATTAAGTAGTATTGACATACAGCATTATGTTAGTTTCAGGTGCACAATACAGTAATTTGACATTTAAATATACAAAATTATGAAATGATCACAATAAGTCTAGTAACCATCTGTCACCATACAAAATTATTACAGTATTACTGACTTTATTCCTTCTGTTGCATATTGTATCCCCATGACTTATTTATTTTGTAACTGGAAGTCCATACCTCTTAATCCCCTTCACCTATGTTTGCCCATCTCCTCCACTCATCTCCCCTCTGGCAACCGCCAATTTGTTCTGTCTTTGAGTCTGTTTCTGTTTTGTTTTGTTTTTCATTAGTTTTTTTTTAATTCCACATATAAGTGAAATCATACAGTATTTGTCTTTTGCTGTCTGACTTATTTCACTCAGCATAATACCCTTTAGCTCCATCTGTGTTGTCATAAATGGCAAGATATCGTTCTTTTTTATGGCAGAGTAATATTCCATTGTGTTGGCATACCCTGGAGATACTTTGAGTTCAGTCCCAGACCACTGCAATAAAGAAAATACTGAAATAAAGCAAGCAGCACAAATTTTTTGGTTTCCCAGTTTAAAGTTATGTTTACACTATACGTAATCTATTAAGTGTGCAATAACACGTCTAAAAAAGTACATATCTTAATTTAAAAATACAAAACAAAAAAACAATTACAGGAGTAACATCGAAGATCACTGATCACAAATTACCATAACAGATATAATAATAAAAAAAAGTTTGAAATATTGCAAGAATGACCGAGAATGGCACAGAGACATGAAGTGAGCAAATGCTGTTAGAGAAATGGCACCACTAGACTTGATCCACACAAGGTTGCCACAGATCTTCAGTTTGTAAAAAAAAAAAAAAAAAAAAAACACAGTATCTGCAAAGTGCAAGAAAGCAAGGTCTGCCTGTGTGTGTATACATACCACACGTATCACGTCTTCTCTATTCATTCATCTATCAGTGGACACTTCAATTGTTCCCTGTCTGGGCGACTGTATTTACTGCTGCATGAACACAGGACTGTATATATCTTTCTGAATTAGTGTTTTTGTTTTCTGAGGGTAAGTACCCAGAAGTAGAGTTGCCAGATTATATGGTATTTCTAGTGCAGTCTCATTTTAAAATGTGAAATAAACTAACAAGATTATTTTTAAGAATATATTTTATTTAACCTAAAAGGTCCAAAATAATATCACTTCAACATGTAATCAATGTAAAATATTATTTATGAGGTACTTTACTTTTTTTTTCCATACTAAGTCTTCAACATCTGGTGTGTACTTTATACTTACAGCACATCTCAAGTTGCACTAGACACATTTTAAGTGCTCAATAGCCACATACAGCTGGTAGCTGTTGTACTGGACAGCAGAGTTCTAGATTAATCAGAGTTGATATGTTAACCACAGCTTCGTTCGATTGACTGAGTGCCTACTGCATACTGGACATTGGGAATTAAGAGAGAATTGATGGTGACTGTAATAATAGTTATTTTAAATTATTACTACGGCTCATATTTATTGAACACTTATGTCCCGGGCATTGCTTAAGTGTTTTACAAATGTTAAAAACCAAAACCAGGCAGGAATGATTATCCCCATTTTACAGATAAGGAAAGTGAGCTTAAGTGGTTTGCTGAGTCTCAGAGCTAGGAAATGGTGGAGCTGGGATTCAAACATAGGTAGACTGTTCCAGCTTCCCTCGAGGGACTTAAGAGTCAAGGAGGAGACACAGAGTACACAGGAGCAAGGCCACCAAGGTGTGGTAAGAGTAAGGATGTCCGTGAGGACACGGGAACAGAGGGGGCCTGGAGCTCAGCCTGGAGAGGTCAGCAAACAGCCCAGATGGCCTCTGGGCTGAGTGTGGAAGGAAGAACTGTAGTCGGCCATAGAGAGGAGGCTGGTGGAGGGCAATGGTGTTCTGGGGAGACACACCAGCTTGCGCAAAGATGCAGATGGGTGACCCAGTCCTGGGTGACCTGGGACTCTAAGGCGAAAAAGCAGTAGAGACACAGAAACACCACAGCTGCTCACACGCTCCCCTTCCTGCTTCCTCCCCTCCTTCTCCACTTCCCGGGGGAGATGCTCCTCACAGGGCGGTTCCAGCACTGGAAGTGAGTGACCTTCATATTTTATATATATTTTGAAAGAGAAGTTAAAGTCCCAAAGCACGCTGTGAGCCATCATGAGAAACACGTCCTCAGGAGAATGGTCTCCTGGCTCAGCTCTTTGGATGAACTACTAAACACAGCCACTTGGGTGGGGGGGTTCCTTGTTTAATGGGCTCTACTCATTTCAAATGAGGAGTAGCTTTACACTCTGGGGAAGAGCTACCTATACTGGAATTAGGATGTGGAATTGCGGGGTGAGGCAAGTATCACACATTGCACACTCAGATCAGCGTATCCCTTCCTAGGCGTGGTCCTGTCTATCCAGGGGTCATCGGTGCCCAAAATGGTGACCTGCTTGCCCTCGTCTTCTTGAAGCCACAACCCAGACAGGCTGGGCTGACAGTCAGGAACTGATGTCCCAGCCGCTGGGAGAGACGCAGGACGAACTGAAGCAGAATGGAACGCTCATGTACCTGCAGGACCCAGTATTTAGGGAAAGTGAGTAAAGGGGGGCCCAGGGAGAATGCAAATGGGAGAACACAGGCTTGTCTGCAGGGGCCAGCTGCCCCCAGCTCTGCTGATCCAAGTGATGCCACCAAGCCAGGGCCTACCTCCTGCTTTTCCGGGACACCACTGGGTCTTCTGACTTCCTACTCTGGTTACTGGGATCCAAGCTTCCTGCTGTGATCACTGCAATTCAACTTTGAACTCAACTTTTTAGAGTCAGCCACACACCCACCTCCCCACGACACAAACACAGTCCCCAAAAGAGCTAGACTGAGTTGAGTTTCACCATCAACCACCTCACAGCCCCAGAACCACCGCCATCCCCTTTCGCTCCTCCCTCATCTGTAGAGAGTCTCCCGCTTCCTTCTCTTGGAGTAGTTTGACTCTGGGGAGACTTGTTGCCCTTCCCTCCCACTGGGTTTTCATCAGAGTCACCAATCACCCCAATTAAAAAAAAATTATGGTACAATGCACATAACAAAATCTACTATTTTAACCAATTTAAAATGTACACTTAAGTAGCATCGATACATTTACAATGTTGTGCAACCATCCCCGCTATCTAGTTCCAGACAATTTGCATCCCCTTAAAGGAAACTGCACCGCATTAAGCGATCACTCACTGTTCTCCCTTCCCCCAGCCCCCAGCGTCCAGGAGTCTACTTTGTCTCCACGGTGTCTTCTTAGCCTGTAGATCCTATCTCTGCAGATTTGCCTATTCTGAACATTTCATATAACAAGTAGCTTTTTGCGTCTGGGTTCTTCCACTTAGCATATAATATCTTCAAGATTCATCCACATTTTAACATGTCTCAGTGCTTCTTTCCTGAATGTGGCATAGTCATACCACATTTTGTTTATTCATTCATCAGTTGATGGACATTTGAGTTGTTTCTACCTTTTGGTTATTGTGAATAGAGCTGCTATGAATATCTGTGTATGAGTTTTTGTTTGAGCACTTATTTTCCTTTTTTTTTTTTTTTTACAGTATATACCTAGGAGTGGAATTGCTAGGTCATATGGTAATTTTATGGATAGCTTCTTGAGAAACCCACCAATTGTTTGTCACAGTGGCTGCGTCATTTTATATTCCCACCAGCAATATATGAGGGTTCTAATTTCCCCACATCCTTGCCAACACGTGTTATTTTCCACTTTAAAAATTATTATCACAGCCATCCTATGGGGTATGAAATGGTATCTCACTGCTTTTTTGATTTGCATTTCCCTAATAACTATGACACTGAGCATCTTTTCATATGCTCGTTGGCCAGTTGGTATGTCTTCTTTGGAGAAATGTCTGTTTAAGTTCCTTGCCCTTTATGAAATTGAGTTGTTTGTCTTTTTACTATTGAATTTTAAGAATTCACTGTATACCCGGGATACTAGCCCCTTATCAGACATAGGATTTGCAAATATTTTCTCCCATTATGTAAGCTGTCTTTTCACTCTCTTGATGGTGTCCTTTGATGCGCAAAATTTTTAATTTTGAAGAAGTCCAATTTCTCTATTTTTCTTTGTTGTTTGTGCTTTGGGTTTCATATTTAAGAAACCATTGCTGAATCCAAAAGCATAAAGATTTACTTCTGTGTTTTCCTATAAAAGTTGTATAGTTTTAGCTCTTCTATTTAGCTCTCTGATTCATTTTGAGTTAATTTTTGTGTATGGCATAAGGTTAGAGTCCAACTGAATTCTGCGTATAGACATCCAGTTTTCCCAGCACCATTTGTTAAAGAGACTATTATTTCCCCATTAAATCGTCTTGGTACCCTTGTCAGAAATCAACTGACCACAGGTGTATGGGTTCATTTCTGAACTTTCAATTCTTCCCAAAGTGGGGTTCAAGTTAAAATGTATTGATTTTCTAAATAAGGTATAGAGATTGTGAATAAAGCTTAATTATCAAATCCTAACATATGTAATACTGCTTCCAACTTAGTATATGAGTTACTTCCAAAAATGCTCATCACAGCTGGATTGAAAGAGTATTTTTTTAAATGTGGCGATGGTGTTACTACATTACAGGTCTATTGGAAATCCAAAGAGACTTGCC